GGATGTGAATAACAGTGAGGCCGAGGGTGCGGATGTGAATGAGCGTGAGGGCAAGGGTGCGGATATCGATGAGAATGAGGGCGAGGATGCTAATGTATATAACAGTGAGGACAAGGTTGAAAGGGTTCGTTTTATCTTGAAACCTCCATGCGTACGCTCGTGCACATCTTTGGTCTACCTATCATAAAGATATAAACAAAAAAAGAATTAGAAATTTTTCAAAAGAAAATTCTCATATATGTATATTTTAATAGATTCATCCAATACTTTAACATTCGATGGTTATAGTTTTGTTCGAATGAGTTCAATACTAAATTTAACTCAACATACAAATTTAACATTTACTTTTCGAACTCAAGTTAGTCAAGGAGTATTATTAAAATTGATATCATTTGATGAAAAAAAATTACAACATAATATATTAATTCAAATCAAAGATAGTCATATGGCTCTTGAATTAGATAAAAAAATGCTTTTTCAAATTAATGAAATAACAATAAATGATGGTTTATGGCATACTATTTATTTTTCAGTTGATTATACATCAACAAATCAAAATTATTATTATCTTCTTCGTCTTGATAATGTATTTAGTAACCAAATTCAACTATTTCAATCAATATTATCTAATCAATTAAAAGAATCTATAATTGGAAATGATTTTCATGGTTGTTTAGGAAATTTAACATTAAATAATCAAATAATTTATCTTCAAAAACAAGATAAAAATCCGTTACTTGAACATATTGGAACAAATAATGGTTGTCAATTAGCTGAAATTGAAACACGTACATTAAGACAATACACTGGTAAAGATGATCTTTGTTCATTATATCATCCATGTTACAACGGTGGAATATGTTCAAGTCAAACTACAAAGCATGGTTTAAGTTTCATATGTAATTGTTTAAAACCACGTTTTAGTGGACGACAATGTCAACGTGATTTACATCCATGTGAAAGTCATCCATGTTTATTTAATGAACAATGTATTTCATCAAATCATCTAAATATATCCTATACATGTATATCATCACTTGCAAATTTACCAATGTCAACAAAAAATCTTTTATATATTGGATTAGCTGTTACATTTTGTACATTCATCTTATTTATGTTACTTTTTCTATCATTAATTATCTATTGTCAACAAAAACGAAAAGAGAAAAAGAAAAAAATTGTTTTAAATCATGATAAACCAACTGTATCAGCACCATTACTTATTCAAAAATCATCACCAACATTAACACCAGCAAAAACAATTGAAAGTCCAATGCAAACATTATTAAAAATCAATACAAATGGAAAACAAACTGTTGAAACAATGGCATTAGTAGATAATACTCTTACAGAATCAGGAATGAATAATTTTAATGATAAGGTATTATATATTGAATATAAAAAGATTCATTTTCTTTATTAAAAATTGAAATGTATATCTTGACCCTCTAGTTGAATTTAAACGAAAGACAAGAAAAAGTAATTAAATGTTAACCTTGTATTCGATCACACAAGATAGAATGAATTTTAGAGACAATGTTGTGAGTTTGTTAGCGATACAACATATTAAATATCCAATTTTTTATGATTTGAATAAAGTTATTATTATTAGTTCGTATGAATGTTTATTTTGAAATCAGATTGAATTACAATAATCTAATCGATATTGAACTTGATCTACTTTGACTAGACATATTTCTTTCATCTTATATTGAATTTGATTCTATGTCAAATACTGATTTCTTTGTTTTTGTTTTATAGTTAACTAATAATCATGTCGAGAAAATATCTCAATCGATTGACAAAATTCCATATCAATCACATGAATCATTAAATCGTCGTCGTGTAAGTTAAACTTTTTTAAAAGACAAAAACTGAATTCATATTCTTATATGTCATTTAGAGTGATCCAAAATATTATTCAACTATTGGAAAAATGAATATACCACCAGATAATTTTCTCTCTCATTATAATAGTATTGATTATGGTTAGTTATTATTTTATTTTATTTAATAGTATAATTTTTATATTTATTTTTAGATAGTACACGTATTCCACTTGTAGATCCTCATTCGTCAGATTTATTTGATTGTAAGTTTATTTTATCTTACTAAATTCTTAATTTAATTGTTTTCTTCTTTGTTCTTAGTTCCATCCTCACCTACAAGTAAGTTTAATATTTTTATTTTGTTATATAAATATTCTTTTTTCGTTCTTTTATAATAGAATATTTCAATAGTCATAATGGTGATAACGCTACTAATTATCAAATTTGTATAAATTCTTTATCGAATTTAACTGAAAAATTAGTTGAACAAAATGATATTGAATTAACTCATTCATCAAATGATTCATCGAATAATGAACAAACGTTATTAACATCACCAATATCAAATGGAGAACGTAAACGTTCATTATTTAATGGTGGAAGTGCACATAGTATACGTGCATCAACATCATCATTACAAAAAGCTCCTGTTTATGCTAAAGTTGTAAAGGGTAAATAAACAATTCTTTAGATTGATTTGATAAAATGAAAATGTTATTATTTTTTTCTTCTTCTTAGCAACATCAAAATCATCTAATGGTGGTATGAGTACAATTGAACGACTTCGTTTAAGTGGTTCACCACTTCGTCTTCTTTCATCATCTCCAACATATGCACGTACAACATCATTTTTAAAATCGAATACAACTAATGACAATGAACATTCTCAT